GGTATATGAGTCCTTTATTTCGGCCAATTTCTACTATTCTTAAAGCGATCCGCGGTGCCTGGTAGAATCTATACAGGCTGGGGACAGCCTATATATATAGGATTAATCTTCAAGCAGATCATACGGTGGCAAGGAAGTGTCCATTGGCCAGAGGAGTGTCCATTACCCACCGTAGTTGGCCGTGCAAACTCCTATGGCTAATGGATACTGTCTTGTCATCGAAAGGGATCTGCTTAATGGAGATTACCTAGGGTGGGGAGGGGCATGGCATAGGACCCTGGAGGGGGGGGGCATCGCTGAGGGGGTCGAGGAGACACAATGTGGGACTCCACACGGTAATGCTTAGGTCACATTTCCAAACCGGGGCCCGGCCGGGTAGTCATTTGGAACGAAAAATATGGTGTAAAACGCAACAAAGCACAGAAAGGTTGAAAAATATCAACAATGAAACTATTTACGTATATTCTTTATGAAAATTGTTGATTTTTCGTTAATCGAAACAGCCCGGACGGGCCCCGGTTTGGAAATGTGACCCCAGCATAACTGAGTAGTGACGGAAGAAATGTCTGGTATATCTATATTGTATCATATATGTATATATATGTTATTTGTATATCATTTTTAAGCCTCCAAAAATTAATGACGATGATGATGTAATAGGTATTATGTGTAACAGAGATTTGTTGACAGATTTACAATGCTGTAGTTTACAGTCAAACAAACCATCAATGGTTGTAAAATAATCAAATGCCATTGCATTGCATGTGTGTGACGCATCTAAATGCGCACCAAACAGGAGCCGATATGTTGTTGTACATGTATATAGAGATTTATAATGCTTGTTTATAGCATGGTAACAATTGTGCATTAAAAAAAAGAAAGAATGTCACCATATTTACATGTAAGGCGCTTCAGATTCATATCTGCATTATTGGAAGTTATATGAATACATCATTGGCGGAAACTACATTTCAATTTGTCATAATTCTATATAGAACATATCTTCATTAATATCGATACTTCACACTACATTACATTACATTTACACATATATGTAAATGCAACAGGTAAGTCATGAACGTCCTACTGTATCTGTATATAGCTGTATAGCCGGTATAACCGCCCTTCGGCGTAACACACCAGCTTCGCAGGCACGCGGCGCGGCGGCAGCTAGCTATATCACACCGAACGACTTGTTACACTCAATCTTTGCACATTTAATTGCAGGAGTTGTTTAAAGCTTTCTAGTGATTATGCTCCAACTGTACATGTGCTTGGTGGCAACGAGTTTATTCAAGTTTTATTCAAGTTTTATTCATGAAAACTAAGTCTACGATAGTTCTGGGGAAATACGAGTTTTTGAATACCTCAATACTGGCCACCTATCTAACACGACTGCCCCCCTCCCCTTAAAAAATTCCCATGGCTGTCGGCACTAATCAAAATGTCATCAATCAAAATCGTTAACCCTTTTCTGTGCTGGGTTGACAGCAGCCAATTAGGAGCGCTTTGTCTTTTTGTTTTCTAATTGGCCTGACTTTTCCACACACATAACTGCAGCACTTTGGAAACAGCGGGTACTCAATCTTTTCACTGTCCACTCGATTTAGATTTCGGAAACAGCCCCAGGCCTCAATAGTTGCAGCGTAACTCGGTGATGCCATTTCAGCATCCAGTGCACATGTTTTAAAGTGTTTGTTTTGCCTAAAAGTACATCCTTCACTTCACTATGCGTCGACGTCAGACAAAAACGACGTTACCTTCGTTAATGGTCTTCTTGGTTCACAAAATAGGAGTAAATTCGGGATGGGATCACTAGCCTCCAAATTAACACATATGTAGACTTTCATTCACAACTTAAGCCTTTATTTAACACTTAGTATTCGAAAACAAGACATGATTCTCCAGCCAGGCCGATCGCCCGGCGTCTCCAAGGCTAATTTCCGTCTCTTAAACGGTCGTCGCCTTTTTTAACGCTCGATGCCATATCGCAGAACGGCAAACTTAAAGTGTATCAGCACGGTCCATCCATACCGTGATGTTTCGTGGAGTAGAGGTTAGGGTATAGGTTAGGGTTTTAAAACTATACTTTTGGACCCGGGTTCAAATCCGAGCTTGTGCTTTTCGCTTTTTTTTTTCACTAATATTTACAATTCTACATAAACCTCCCTTATAGTTTCGATTAGAACATTGTTTTTATAGTATACATTACTTTTTATTCGTTTTTGGGCCTCAAAAAAGTTATGGTGCGCTCAGATATGGCATCGGCCATTTACTCTCCAAGCAGAGGTTGTGGGGAATTATCGTTACCTTTTTATATATGGCCGTTTTTTTTTGTTCTGATCCCCACCAACGTCGGTGGCCGCGGAGCTTCTCTGGCTAATGGATACTGCCTGGCCAATTTGATACTGTCTTTTTGCCACCGAGAGGGATCTGCTTGGAGATTACGGCCATTCAGCGAAATGGCATCGACCGTTTCAAACGCCCTCGACCCTTTACGAGACGGAAAAATGCCCGAGGGCACGCAGGGGAACTAAACGTATTAGACGATCGCGATTCAACTATTCATAAGCTCTACAGACGAACGCTCGGAGATTTACAACGGTAGACTTGAAATTGCTTCTTGGCCACGTGATAAAGTCGTCGGAAGAAATAAAAGGGGCACGGCAACGTCTTAGTGGCATTTGGCTGACTGACATCTTGCTCGTCTTTACATGTACATCAGTGAGAATCATCGATATCGTGAGTACGTTTTATTTGTGTTCTTTCCACCAAGAACACTTGTCTGTGTAACGCCGCGAAACTCTGCCGTCCGCGGCTTTAGTGGCCGGCTGGATGTTGGTTGGGCGGCCGGCAACCGTAAAGCGATTTAATCAGGCTACAAGAACACCAGGCGTAACGGAGTACAAGTAATGCTTTAGTTTTTTCTTAAAAGTCAAAGATTTTGCACACATTTCTACTCATAACATCTTCCTGTATGACAAAGACCATCTGTAAACAAGAATTAATAGCAAATTGAGGATTTAGTGTAGGATGAAAGTCCACAATGATAGTTTGGTAGTTAATTTCAAAAATGTAAACCACAGAAAGGGAACCAAACGACGTTCCTCTCATCTTTCGTTTGCTGTAGATTTCCTACTGGTCATCTCTTCACAGTGACAAGAACCTGTCATATATCTCCTACACAGCAGAGGAAACCCATCCGTATGTTACATGTTGATCCTCTTTCTAGTGATGCATCTCAGAGTACAAGTAATGCCATATTTTGTATATCTATGACTGTTGCCTTCTAGAATATTAAATAATACTTCAGCCCTAATCCTGTATATTTGTGTCCTGTTCTGTAGGTGACTGTGGGTGTTTGTAAGTGACGCGAACAGCACAGCTACCAGCTGACCCATCTGGTTTGGGAGTCATACTTGCTTGCTTCAAATGCTCAAGATAGGCGGAGAACATTGCATATCATTATATTGAGAAACAACCTTTTTTCTGTGACAACTCTAGCTACTAGTACCACTAGTGTCTTCTAGTACGAGAACTCACATTTTCTGTGTGCTAAGATAACAGTGTATTAGTCATAATTATGAAATATGAGGTGTTCATCTTCCTTATTATGAACATGGTGTCATTAGGTGCAGGTAGTGAGCTTCCAGATAGATGTTTTGTCAAAACTGGACCTGTCACTAACATCGACTGCCAGAACTCAAACCTAACCAGTCTACCCAGCCATCTCCCGCGTTTTACTAGCGCTGTGTATCTTCAGTACAATCGTTTACGAATAATCCCTGACTTATCTACCCTCGGGTTTCTTGTCACATTAAATCTCAGTCACAACCTTATCACAGACGAGGGCTTTTCGTGGAGATCCTTGAAACATCTGAAACACCTCACAAAACTTGATCTATCGTACAACCGTCTGACTTCTGTTAGGCTTGACTTGGCCATCGAGGGGATGACAAGTATTTATCAAGTAAATCTGGTCTACAATAAGCTATCCACTTTCTCGGAGGCAAACCTGGGTATTCCAACGCAAAATCTTACCAGGAGAAAGGGAGGGACAGGGTTCAGGTTTATACACGGCAATCCGGTTCACTGTGACTGTCATATGTCATGGCTGACAGAAAGGGCTTTTCTGTTTCACCGATGTTGGCCATTAGATTGTACATCAATGGATAAGGATGATGTGCTTTATAGAGATTTTGTCTGGTATGGTTTGCCTACTTGTAGCAGCCCTGATCGGCTAAAAAACGTCCCGTTACACAAAACAAGTCTGTCTCCCTGCCCAGCCACGCCAGAAAGTAAGACGAGTAACTCTACCAACAAAACTAAAAAACAGTTTTCCATCTCTCAAAACACGACAGCCTATGATACGTCTTTAGCACCTTTGGCAACCGGACCAAAACTATATGAGGGAAATAGCACCACGAAACTGTATGAGGGAAATAGCACCACGAAACTGTATGAGAGAAACAGCACTACGAAGCAAGCCGCTGTCTCCTCGGCAGACCATACCGACCATGACCAACTGGTCACGCACCCCTCCACCAAGATTATTGCTCATACATCCAAATCAGGGGCTACTAACAAAAATGGACATATTATCATCATTATTATTTTTGCTACAGTATCCGTACTTGTTTTTCTACTCATGTTATTATCAGCCGCCTTTGCTGTCACCAAAAAGGTTACCCGAGACAGGCAGAGTGATAATCAACAGAACGGATTCAACCAGAATGTGGGGTTATCAGTAGCTACCGAAGGGTCCAATGCACAACCCGAGCTCACCAATATCTTTCCCAACCCTGTCTACAGTAGAAGTAACGAATATGCCATCTGCACTACCCAAAGCCAAATCGCAGATACGTATGGGATGGATCGTACC